TCGCAGAAATTTCCATATCGTAGCCGTAACTTAATCAAACTACGACGGTAACGCGAACGAGAGCGTCACCGATCAAAAGGTTTAATGAACAGAACGGTGGGCGGGTATGCTCATGCATTATAAATCTTTGGACATTCTTAGCCGTCTCTTACAAAGCAACAACGTGAAATAACCAAATTCTGGATACTTTGGAGAACGTGAACCGCGACTGATAATATATTGGATTTCCTTTTGGAATTAAACGATTTCATTACATATTTAGCCTGAGCAGCTTGTTAGACCGATAGGTATACTTAGTAGGTCTGGATAATTGCTTAGGTCCGTAAGGTATATATCAACTTTTTACAAGACGTCGTCCTCGGTGTCGCTGTCGTCATTGTTACGCGCCCTTATTACGGATTGAAGCTCTTATGAATTATAACAATTGTGCAATTGGATAACAATCGGGAAGACACTTGGGCCTAGTCCAAATGTTGTGCTACTGCCGTGCCGAAGTCAAATGAATTTGGCCCGGCAGTGTCATGACAAAAGAACGACAGTGCTTTCAAACGTCTGATTTAATTCACTCGCGCCTAAGATCGGATGAAGTTTGCTTTGCTGAAGACCATTTTAAATGCTAGAAAACAATGGCAGCTGATGCAACAGGCTATGAATTCAGTTCGGCACGGGAAGAGCACGCCGTTTGAAGCGAAGTCGCGTTACTGCCGTGCTAAGTAGTCGTGCCGAGCTTAATTCAGCCTGCCGAACTGAATGGTTTCAAACGCCGTGCTACTACCGTGCTTAACTAGAAATTAATTCTCAAATTTATCTCGGCACGGCAGAAGCACGGCGTTTGAAATAGGTCTTAGTCTACATTGAAAGCTCGTTGCCCCCTGGAAATGGCACTAAAGAGATGTCAACTCTGTCCGAAACAGTTGTTTTGGTCAGCTAGTTGGCAAGCTTGCAATAACAACAACAACAACAACAACAACAACAACAACAACAACAACAATCTTTATTTGTACTCTTTCACACTATAATTCTAAATGTACAAAAATATCAATGGTAAAAATCAGGGTACTGGTTGCTTTGAATACCCATAGGGGCTAGCGGAGCCAGGCAGCCAGTTTGGCATCAGCGTTAAATGAAAATAATTGCAGGTCAGCAAGATAGTACAAATGCACACATAAAAAGAAAGGATTAGAAGAGGAAAAAAGAGAGGAAAAGGAAAAAAAAAACGCCCTTTGGGAATAGTAACGGAGAAACAACAACAACAACATGATATTAAGAGTAAATTCTGAGAGAAACGTACACTCGGAAAAATCCGAGTCCCAGATGGGATTTGAAGCCACGATCCTCCGTGATCTAGTCAGATGCACTAACCACTGAGCTATTGGAGACTCTGGTGAGCAAGGGTCAAATTGTCGGTATCGACTGGAACCGCATCGCGCGGCTACACAGTCACATACGTGGCTGTGTAGCCGCGCGATGCGTTTAACTAAAGAATAATTAACTAGAACATTGGAGAAATGACACAACTGCATTCTAAAATAATGTAAATGCACATAACTAATCTATAAATAATAATCTTTAAGAGTCCCTGTCCATAAAAATGGAAAATAACTCGGCAAGGGTCGAAAATTCAATTTCGCTCATATT